CCAGTCACATGACAGGCCTGAGAATTGACCATTGAATTTAGCAACTTGGAGTTCATTGGTTACCTTGACAAGGGATGAAAATTTTAAGAACAGTAGTGGGGATGATTGCAGTGTATTGGAAAGCATGGTCGGCATAATCCTTTTGAGGGGGGGAGTGAGACTAGAGAGAGGAAATTGTAGTCAGAGTGGAATATACGGAATTGGAGCGAGGTGGGGGAAGACTGAAGTTATCAGTATGACAGGGTCTAGGATGTGACCTGGGAATTGGTGGCTAGAGGAGACTAGAGACAGGATCAGTGGACAAGAGTGGTCCAGGGACTCGAGAGACCAGCTTGTTTGAAGGATTGTCTGCCTGCATATGGAAAGCACCAGGACTTAGGACAGCGATACTGTCGGGAGGTTCAGAGCTGGGTGTTTGTACGGCGGCGTGGAGCATCGTGGTTAGAAGTGGCAGTGGTGTGTCTGCAGGGAGGCGGTGGTCGCAAAGAGAATACTCACCCTTCCCGCGCTCCCAGTGGTATGTGGGCTGTGGGGCATAAAAGAAGAGGGTGGGGCTGCCAGGTAAGAGCTGTCATTAGAGGAGAAGCAAGTTTCCATTGAGGAAGAAGGTAAGAGAATGTCCAAAGAGGAGGCTGAGAATATGTAAGGTGTTTTGCCCACGATGAGCCATGAAGGAATTCCAGAGGGCACGGCCGGGATGGAGATGAGGACAGATGGGGGTGGGCAGAACTTTACAAGTACTGGAGATAAAGAGCAACTAGTGGTCTAGAGTTCCCTGAGCTGCACAAACACAAGAAAGGGCCTAATGAGATTAGTTCCAGCGACTTTAAACTAGAAATTCTGGAGAGGCTTGAAGAGGTTGAAGGGATATGGGACAGATTCGTGTCAGGAGTTCCTTCTTAATCCCGTTCGTGGAGACAGGGTGATGTGGGAACCCGGAGTCTCTGTCCTCCTCTTGAACGCCTGTCGATGGCCTGGGGAGACGTGGACTTGGTCCCAGTGCTGCCGTTTGCTCCTTGACCCCCCGTGTTTCCGTCCACTGCCGGGCCTGTTTCCTGACTCTGGTTGATGGGATCGAGAACCTCCAGGAAAGCCAGGAATTATGCTGAACGTTTGGACTTCCTTCACCCCCTGATACGGGGTAGAACGCAGAGGACAGATAGAAGGCCTGGGGAGACGTGGCCCTGGTGCCAGTGAGGGGAGCCCATTCTTGATCTATTGAGGGAGGAGGCTTCCCTTGACCCCTTGTGATGGAGTTGAGGCATGGTCAGCCTAACGTGTTTTCTTGCATATTATTAATATTGTAAGTGTTGTACACATAAATGAAGAAATTTTTAGAATTTTTCCCCTTTGCCATATGTTGGGTTTTTAGTTTATCCTTGGGAAATAGGACACGTCTTTGGTTAATAGACATTTGAGGTGCGCGAAATGAAATGCTGCAAAAGCAATTCAGATGGAACTGACAGGTACGAGAATGGGGCTCAGCTGCTCCCAGCTTCTTGGTTTGATGACAGTCTTGAAATAAATAATCAGAAGCTGGGTGAAATGTTAGCAAATGTCAGTTTAAAGTTTTCACTTGTCAAAACTAAGATTGTCTTATCACCAAACCATTGCAGGACCAAATTATGCTACCTTTTATTCTCCTGTTCATTGGGAAACATTCTTCACCCCTGATTTTTTTATGCTGAACCACGTTAGAGCACTTCGTGGATGGATTTCCGGTCGACACTGATGTTCATTCCTGCTCACTTCGTTTAATAAAGAGGACTTAGTTTGGTCAGAAGGCAATTGTTTGATTCCTGTTTATAGGTCTCAGTACCTGTCACTGACGGTTCCAAGTTAAACAGTGGGGACCTGTCTCAGTAAAGAGAATTCTTTTCAGTTTTATGAAGAGGTCACTGTCATTGTTTCTGTGCAACGAAGAGAAAATTTTAAAGAGCATCGCAGCTTTATTTGTCTAAGGAGCCATTATGATGTAACTTCTGACCTTTGGAAAGAAGACTGAGGTTCACTTAATTTAGTGCTGAGTTTTCCAGAAGCAATAGCCAATTTATTTTCAACAAAATGAGAATTTATGTTGACTGCTTGTGTCCAGATGCTGTACATGAGCCACGGAGAACGTTAGGGCTGCTCTGCCCAGAGTCTGGGCAGTCCAGCGCAGGGGGATTCGGCAGGGGGAGGGGCACTCAGACTCAGCGGGAGGGTGGGCAGCTGCCCCAAGTCTGCCCAGACCTGGGAGGCCCAGGTTTTAGACTCAGATGTCTTGACCCGTATTTGGCAATGACATTTTATCAAAAGTTTCGCTTCTAAATTTCTATCCACAAGACGAGAAAAACCTTCTACTTTAATAGCGGTTCTCATATTGAAAGCTATTAAATCTTAAGAGGTAGGGATGCCGTATTTTTTTGCTGTTGCTTGTTTTTGCTGGATTTTTTTCCTTCTTGAATATGAAGGTCTCTCTGTTCCTTTTTCAGCTAGTCCCTCTTTTCTTCTCGCCATAAATGTGTATAATACGTGGATGGAAAATTAGGACTACAGAAAGGGAGAGGAGGAATTTGAGACCAGAGAGAGAAGTAGGCAGTTAGAATTTGCCGTGATCGTATGGCATTGGGTTTCGCGTGGACCCTGACTTCTGTCTCCGGGCATGAAGAGGGATCACGTAAGCCCCAGGGGAGCGAATAGGACATTCTGGAAGAGTGGCAGAGCAGGTGGGAGTCAAGCAGGAACCACCGGATTAAGGGGGCCGGGCACGGCGAGCGCCGCCCGCCTCTAGCGTGGGTAGGTGCTCAGCACAGGGCAGAGGCGCGTCCTGAGCCTTGAGCACAGCTGCTGCCCCATGAGCTGTGTGACTCTGGGAGGGGGGCACCCTCACTGAGCCTCGTCTGTAGAAGCACAGAGATTCCACGTAGACCCGTGGGCTCGTGCCTGTGGAGAAGCTGTCAGGACGGCAGGGGTCCAGCTCAGGAAAGTCCACTCCTCTCAGGCTCCCTTCCTTTTCCCGGGGTTCTCTAGGAGTGAGTGCCAGCTCTCAGCTGTCCTCGGAAAAATTGCAGATCGCCGCCTGGTCTAATAGGTCAGCCGTGGGAGGGACTGCTCTGTTCCTGGGCTCCAGTTAAAGCAGCCAGCGGGAGCCCCCAGCACACTCCAGGCCGGAAAGCTCACACCGTCACCGGCCTGGTGCAGTGTATTGATTAGCTTCTGAGGACGTGATGAAACCAGGATAACAAGAATCTGGCCTGTGTTTGCACATGGAGGAAGCGTTCTGTGCTGAGGAACATCCCAGCGCAGGCCTTTTATCAATGCTTATTCACCCTGCTTAACACGACTCCTTACAGACGCTCAGCTTGCAGCCCGCTTCCGCCTCTGTGCCCGGCACGCCACGCCCACCGCTCACCCCGTCTTCAGCTTCACCAGGGCTCTCAGAACATGCTCAGGCATCGCCGTCTTGTCCGGACACAGCAGAGGGTGGAGGTGCCCCTTCCTCTGTACCCAGGCACTCAGTTCCTGGAGAGCGAGGGCCCGTGGGGGCCAGGAGAGGGGTGAGACACGGAGGAAGGGCTGTGATGGGGACACACCCAACCCTGGGAGGTGGCAGTGTGCTCTGAGGAAGCGGCAGTTAGGCTAAAGGGTGGGTGGGAGGCGCTTGGAAGGAGAGGGAAGGGGAACATTTCTGGCAGAAGGAGGCGCCATCCCCACAGGCTTGAGGCAGAGGGGCACGCAGCTCTCCGCCTCGGGCCCTTTCCCTCATAGGACCTGCCTCCTTGGGCTGTAGTCAGTGGAGTTGAGGATTAGCCTCTGGTGATATTTACCTGAGAAACCAAAGGTGGGAGGAGAGGACCAGGTGTGGGTCTCGCTGGTTGTGTCGCCTGTATGTTCCCTGTGAGATTTTAGGCTGGCCTGCCAGCTGTTGTGATCTGCAGTATCCTTGCCTGTAAGATGGGCACGGCAGCCCTGCTTTCTCACCTCAGGAGCTGAGGTGACGGCTGCTCGGAGCTGGTGCAAGGCGACACCCACAGCATGGATTTTAGTACTCACTCCGTGGCTTCCTAGGGCGTTGCTGAGCTGAGCTGGATCATTTTCCATTTTGATTAGAATTTCTTACTTGATTGCATCAAGTTGGAATAATGAGAATGTTTATTTCCAGGACAATCCAAGATAACAAATTCAGGATGATTGTTTCCCTACAAAATTAAGAAGAGTGGGAAAGGGGAGAGCAGGAGAGAGTGCGTGAAAGCCCTCCTCCGATACTCAGAATAGCATTAGAAACTGGATCATACCCGCCGTGGTTGAGTCATCCAGATTTTCCACAGATTCGTTCCTGTAAAAGGTTATGCCTAATTCACATACTTTGTGTGTGTGTGTGTAGCCTGTTTTGCATCATCTACAGAATGGCCGTGGTGCCAGACCCCCTCCCTCCCGGTGTCTCAGGGATGTTGCGCCTTGGAATACAGCTGTGCCTGTGCTTTGGAAAGATTCCTGGCCTCTGTCCTCACAGACTTGGCCAGGGCCGGTGACTGGACCGCAGGGGCCTTTCCCACCCCTGTCACACACAGTCCTCCTGCTGGGCAGCCACTCCCGATGGTAACGGGATGGTGCTGGGCAAGTAAAACGTTTCATCCCGTAATGTTGTTATCTTATTGTAAAGTGAACTGCCCACGGGTCACACAGCATCGAGTTGTCTGGTCCGTAGGTTTGTGCCTTCCGTGAACTTTGCATCAGTTGGAAAGAAGCCGTGGCTGTCCTTCCTCCTGTCCCTCACACGAGCCCAGCCCAGGTTCCGGGTGCACAGGCTGTGATTGTCCACCGCACATGCGTCTCCTCTCAGGCCACAGGCCTCTGTCTTCTCTGTGGGAATTCCTTTCAGTGTTTATCCCTGCCCTTTATTAGTTATCTTTAAGTTTTAGAATTCTTCCTCGAGTATGATTTAAACTCACAGGCAAGTCAGTGTGTCCTAACTGTGTTTTCGTCTTTCTCTGCTTGTCTCGTTTTGTTCGATACAGTGGTGCTGATTACTATGATTATGGACACGGACTCAGTGAAGAGACTTACGATTCCTACGGTGAGTAAATGGCCAGAGTGGAGCCGTAAATAGAAAAGGTCATAGAAACAGCTTGAAGATCTTAACTCAGGGGAAATCTCATACAGACCGAAACTGAGACAGCAGCTCCCGCTCGGTTCATCTGTGCTTATCTAGCTATCTTCAGAAGCTCCTTAAGGTTTAAATTTAATTTTTAAAGAGGACTGAAGACTTGCAGAAGATTACAGGAATTCAGATTCTAAACTTAGATTTTCTGTTTGGGATGATTGCCATGTGCTGATTTCCTCACTGTTGAACAGTGTGCCAAAGTGCAGACACTTGATAGAATGGATCTCTTTGAAGTGTCTTTGCTTCTTGACAGTAAAGAAAATGAAGCAATTGAGACTACAGCCCTACAGTGATTCCACCACCCCCATCTTTATATTTTAATTTATTCGCAATCTCAAATCCTCTAAAAACGTTACGGTGAGAATCATTCAGTAAAGGTTACGGAAGCACTGAGCCGGGAAGGAGATGCACGGCTCTCTCAGGCTTACAGGGAGACATCGAAACCCCACTCGTTTCAGTGGGAGCTGGCCGAGATGCCGGGGAACCCACGTCCAGAGTCTCAACATGCAGAAGGGCGACAGGTTTAATTAAAAGACTTGGCGGCAGCAACTTAACCATACTAGGAAGCTCCTTTGCCACGGGGCAGGGGTCAGAGAATGTGAAGCTTCAGTCAGTTGCAAAGCTCTGATGAATGCTTCGTGCCCAGTGCAAGTGAATCAGGATTCTCGCTAAATGGATGTTACGACATTTCTCCGAACATAACTGAAAAACCATTTGCCAGTGTTCCCTTTGAAGTGCATTTTGTTGTATCACCTGCCCCAAGCCTTGATGAGCGCACCTTGGTTTTTCTGTTGTTGTTGTTATTCGTAACAGACGCTTAAGAGAAACACCTTGGCTTGCTGAATGCTGTCTACTTAAATTGATGCAAGTTAGCTTGAGGGAATGACGTTGATTGCATGTTTGTATCAAATAAGAGGTCATTTTCAGCGTTTTTTTCCTTCACAGCTTTTTTAAATTGGTCTCCATGGAGGCATGGCTTTTAAATCGCTGTGTGTTGCAGCATGGATGTTAACTGCTCGTTGTCAAAGACCCGCAGATCACACTCATTGACGGCCCAGAGATAGGGGGTGATTGAATGTCCCTCTGTTACAAATAACATCGTTCGGTATGGATTTAGTATTAGGATGAAAGCAATTTGACATTATGTCATTGAGATTATTTCATATCCAGGAAGTCTTTTTGAGGCATAACTCTCCACCCAATACAACCTTCATTGACTCTTTGAAGGACCTGTGGAGAACGAGGCATCATTTCCCCCTCCCAAGCTGCCCGTTTCCATTTTGCGCTCCAGTTTGCTCTCCTTTTGCCTTCACAGATTTTTATCTGTGTTTTCTTTGTTTTTGAAAAAGAAATCCAAGTGACCCTTTTCCCATTCTCTTTCCCATCCATAGATGTCTTCACGTTTAGCAAGAGGCAGTTCAATTTGCTGCTTGAGTTTGCATTTGTTAAATGAGTGGCCGAAAGGAAGTTCCTGCAAAGTTGGTTGCCATTTAAGATACAAAAATTATTTGTCTTCCCAGGCTGGTAGGTTTTGCTAGTGAGAGGACCATTTTCCATTGTGTTCGTAATTTTTTTTTTTTAAAGCGAATTCCCTTGGGCTTTTTTAGGACCTCGGGGGATACATACCTTCAGTATGGCATCTACCGCTGGTTCAGGGCTAAGTTAGATTCTGAAAAATGAAGCCCGTGGGATCCCTGGCAATGGTCTAACTGTGATTGATCTGACTGACTTTAGGGCAAGAGGAGTGGACAAACTCAAGACACAAGGCACCCTCGGCGAGGACAGCAAAGGGCGTCTACAGAGACCAGCCATACAGCAGATACTGACTGTACTGTCTGATGTTGTGACATAGCCAGTCTCCACCAGTCCTGTATACTGTTCAAAGTAATTGTTTTCTATGAACAATCCCTTTTTAAATAAATCAAAATGCTTAACATCTGAATGGATGGAATTTAAAATTACTTTGTTGAAACATCAACCTGGGCAGAAAAAAAAAAAAAAAAAGACATGTAAAATTTTGTTATTTCCAGTCTGTATATGAAAAAATAGGTCATCAAAAGGAAAAAAAATAACTTTGATTAACTAGTGTTAAACAAAAAAGATAGGTTTACTAAATATGTTAATCCATCCTTTTAACATAAGCCTCACCTTTCATTTTAAAGGTTTCCATAGAAATTTAGTTATTTTATCTTTCAGCCATATGCTAGTTTTTTTTTTTTTTCTCTTGCCAACATGCGTAAAAAGGGAAGCCAATTACAAGTGCAAATAATGTGGTATTCTTTTGTAACTCAAGTCTTGAAATGTTCTGTAGTGTTAAGCAAAGTCTCCTCTTGCTTGATACTAAATAAACTTTTGAAAGAAATTTTGTGTGTGTGAGCTAACAATTTCATGTCTCTCTTATTTAAAAAGGCCTTCATAAATAGTCGTAAACAGGGAAAGGATTCATTTAACAACGCTTGTCAAAAAAGGGTCACACTAAACATTGTACAACTTATTTAAAACATGGTATAAAATTAAATGTACCATTATATACTCACCGTAGATTTAAATGCTGTTTAAAGAGTCCAAATGGTATCAAGCTGCTTGCGTGGCACGTTAAAAACTACGCAAAACCAAATCTTGTTTAAAAACTGGTTTTAAAATAACTACTGATTTTCTGAAAAAGATGTGATCAGTTTTCATCTTGTTGAGCGTTTTTTCACTAGTGCAACTTTGGATTTTTTATGAGAATTTTGGTACCTTAATGAACACCTCGCTCCATGCTGGAAGCAATAAGCACAAAGCTTTTAAAGACATTCTGGCTTGACTAATTGAGGTCGCACTCGCCAAGGCTGAGGATGTGTAACCCTTAAACGGTCTTCATTTTCAAAGGTAAATAAATCAAATAAGATTTTAATCTCACTTAATTTATCTTAATATAACTAATAAAACCAGGGAGGTTACAACTTAGCAAGTTTCATTAGCCATTTTAGAAAGGTTTTAAGATCACCTAAATTCTCATTTTAAAAAGTTTAATTTGTTTTAGTAATCTAAAAAGCCTTAGTTCAGTCAGTTTAATTGGGGCCAATTATTCCCTATTAAACAAATGTAAAACCTCATAACTAGTTGTTTGTAATACATTCTTTGGTTAGTAATTGAGGGCACTTCTTAAAACTGACAAATATTTAATAAAGTTTTTCTTTAATCATTTGGCTAAGTTTTTTTTAAATTGTAGATTATGTAAAGTGTTTAATTTTTATTTCCTGAGGGGTTTCCTTCTCTTTGAGTAAAAAGGTCTTTTCTTTTGTTAGGAAGTGTTGGCCATCTTGGAAAGTGAAAGGAAGGTTGTGTCCGTCCAGCAGACACAGGTGAGTGCCTTTGTTCCAGTCATTTGATGTGCTTCTCTGAAGTCGCGCGGAACATCTCCCACACTGTTCCCACCACCAGCACTAGTGACTGTGGCTAACTAACTTCCTGAATGTAAGCAAGTCAGACCCAGGGAGCTCTGCGTGAGCTGCAGAGGTGGGAGGCTCGGCCGGTCACACTGTGTAAGTAACTCCATTACTTTCCTCAGTAAAAACGTAACAGGCTAGTCGGTAGCATGAAAAATTTTTCAAAAGTGTCAAGTGAAAAAGCAGTTTACTGCTAGCGATACTGTCTCCCAATTTTATTTTATTTTATTTTATTTATTTATTTTAATTTTATTTATTTATTTAATTTTGACTGTGTTGGGTCTTTGTTTCTGTGCGAGGGCTTTCTCTAGTTGCGGCAAGCGGGGGCCACTCTTCATCGCAGCGCGCGGGCCCCTCACTGTCACGGCCTCTCGTTGCGGAGCACAAGCTCCAGACACGCAGGCTCGGTAGTTGTGGCTCACGGGCCTAGTTGCTCTGCAGCATGTGGGATCTTCCCAGACCAAGGCTCGAGCCCGTGTCCCCTGCGTTGGCAGGCAGATTCTCAACCACTGCGCCACCAGGGAAGCCCCCAATTTTATTTTTAAGAAATAGACTGTATATATTCTCTCTATATATATTCATAGGCAAAATATTGCATGGATATGCTGGAAATTTTTGGCAGTAATCATCTTGTGAAAGAATGATTTGTGTATGTGTCCTTTTCTACTTTGAGTTTTGCAAAACAAATTATTGCTTTTAATAAGATAAATATGATAAGGTGTATTTTATAAAATTGTTTCATAAAATTTTAAAAATAGGGATCTGTGAAGGAAAGGTGTCCTTAATCAGGTCTCACTTTTTAGATATTCTTGCTTTTGCCTACACCGTCAGAAACACTGCTTAGGCCCCAACGTTCCAGAGAATCTTACTTAAGAGTGTGTGTATCTGAGCCCTCCCCCTCACTGGGTGACGCTGGCCAAGACCCCCTTTGGACTCAGCACAGGGAGGACCTCGCTCATCTCTCGCAGTTGCTCTGAGCATTAAGTGAGGCAGTGTTGTGAGAGTGTGTTGTAACCTGGAAGGTGATAACAGTAACGCAGAGTTTAATTGTTGACGTTGAACATGCATGTTTCGTATGAAGGGAAAATATATGAGCTTTTTTTTTCCCCCTTAACCGCCAAAATTAACCTGAGATAATTAAATTACTCTTAGGAAGAAAATAGTTCTCTTCACTCTCATAACTCAAAATAAGTGTTCTGTTTTCTTTTTTTGTTTCTTTTTTGTTTGTTTGTTTTTGGGGGTTTGTTTTTTTTGTTTTGTTTTGTTTTTTTTGGCGCTTCTCTTCTTGTACAGAAAGGGAATGTGGTATGTCACATATTTTTTCAATTCGCGATGTTATACTGAAATTTTTTCACTATTTAATAAGTAATTTTTTTTTTTTTTTTTTTTTTAGGAATTGGCATATTGAATAGTAAGTGTAGGTTTCTTTAATCAGAAATTTTGGACAGGTCCCTGGAGGGAAAATCCCCAGATAGTCTTCAGAGCTAATTCATGGGACTTGTTCAATTTTATGTTTATTTTCATTTTATTAAATAATCCACAGCTCCACTGGACTGTAAAAAGGGGGTTGTGAGCCAGAAAGGTCAGGAACCACCAGGAATGCTCTTGGACAGGAGTTCTTCCGCTTGGCTTTCTTGGGCTTCCCTTATTCGGCAAATACTCTACTGAGCCTCATTTCTCCCTGTTTCAGTAGGAGGACTTGCAGACAAGCAGCCTTCTCCTGTCCCTGAGCGCACCCTGCATCCTTCCCAGATCTTTCCCCTGGCCTTTGTCTACCCCCTTGGGATTCGTGTATCTTCTCATTTGACAGTGTTTACTGAGCGCGAGTTCCTCCCCAGATGCAAAGGAGGCACCAGGAACACAAAGATCTATAGGACATGGACCTTACGCTCAAGTAGTTCAGCAAGGATGGAGGTGGTAGACGACACACCAGCACTTGCTGCCCCTGGGCCTTTGCCCCTAGAAACCATGCCCATCCTTCAGGACTCGGCCCCACGCCCTCCCTTCCGTGTCTTCAGCAGTGAAACCACGATCCCTCCGTGCTCTCTGAAATAGTGTGCTTAGTTTATACTTCTTCATTTTAGTATTGATACCATATGACTTAGATTGGTTATAAGTTGCCATTATGACCAAGCCTGTGCTTAATCCCTTTCTATAAATGATTTCATTGAATCCTCACAACGATAAGAAGGCGAGTGTCGTCTCCATTTCGTGGAGGAGGACGCTTAGGCTTCAAGAGGTGAGATCACCGTGTAGGACCCCAGGCCCTGTGACTGGGAGAGCCAGTTTTGGACCATCCACTCTGATCCAGAGTCTTTGTCCTAACCGTGCTGTTAGACTGTCGGCTCTCTGGGCTAGCACTCGCTCTCCCGTTAGATTAAAGGCTCCTTGAGGGCAGGGGCTGATTTTTATGTCGCCTTGTATTCCTAGAAGTAAGCCTCACAACACTGAGTGTTGGCAGACGCCCCTCTGTCTCTGTCCCACCCTGCCCCACGTTCCTCCCTGGAGAGATTCTTTGGCTGTAGTTAGGTTCTGAATCTTGCTTTGTTCAAGATATTGCAAGTTGAATAAGTATCAGCATTCATGCAGACACGCTGGCTGAGCGTCTGCTATGCTGCAGGCAGTGGAGACGCAGTGGTGACAACAGTCTGCTGGGGAAGTGGGCCAGTCAGGCGCCAGTGCCTGGGCGGCGACAGATGTAGCGTGGGAGAGACACGGACGCCAGGCGGGGTGGCAGAGGTGGGACGGGTGCCAGCAGGGCTGTAAGGACCAGTAGAAGGCAACCGTGTAGGGAAGGTCTTCTTGGAAGCAGTCGTACCCAGCTCTGTCATTTACCAGCTTTGTCACTTAACCTTCCTGAACTTCAGTCTCAACTGCAGTTTCCCCATCCATACAGTGGACACAATCGTGAAATCTAGCTCAGTAGAGCTGCGAGGATTAGAAGCATGCCTGGCACAAACCTAGGTACGTGCTCTTGCTTGTTGCTTTACGCAGATACTTGGATTATAAGAAAACACAGTTATCTAGGAAATTTCGATTATTTAGGTAATTAGAGAAAGCTGTAGATGAAGCTGTCTGTGTGGGCAAGAGGCACACGATGAAGGACCTTGCAAGTCCTGCTAAGAAGCTTAAATACGGTGAGACCACGTTGAAATGTAGTAAATACCCTCTTCACCCTTGAGCTGGCCCTGCTGCAGCCCCCTAGGCAGAGGTGGTGCCTTTTTCAGCCTGTGTTCCAGCAGGAACTTTGTACAGACCTGTTTGCTCTGGTTATTGATCTGATAGCCAGATGGTGAGAGCCTTAAAAAGGGGGGGCCTAACCTTTCCATCCTTTTGTTCCATCTCTTAGCACAGGATTTCGCAGCCGAAAGTGTTGAGCAAGACAGTGAATGTGAAAGAATGACATTGTCGGTGTGATCAATATGATTCGTTAATAGGCAGTGTTAGGAATGGTTAAGGAATAGCTCACAGAGACCCAAAAGAAGGAAGAAAAAAAATCACTCATGTAAATAGTAATAGTCTAACTCAAAATTAGACAGTGACTCTCGTCACTGTGTACAGAGAGACAGGTCCCAGAATTTAAAACAGATGATTTGATGAAAAAAACTAAAATGTAGTCAAAAATCTAATAAACCAAGTTAAGCTGCTTTACAGGTTATATGTGATAAGTATAAATAAGTTAGCTATTTTACATGCAAATCATATCTACTATTTATAGTGATTGTACTATTTATATTGATTTATATTGTAGGAATAGAAAAGAAAAAATCCATCATTATGTTTAAAATAACAAAATCTACTTGATGCTTGATTCTGTTTCCATCTTTGAGGAAGGTTGTGGAACATTTTAAAATCTGAATTCCATCCTCCGCTTATCTAATGGAAAATCCTTTCCGGTTGAAGCTGATTCTGGATGGGATTCTTGTTCCAGGAACCCGGTTATCTTTCAGGGACCAGCACCGACTGCTGTGCCTGTTTTGCTCGTCTTAGTGTGAGTCCTTCCGTGGCTCCCAGCACGCCATCCTGGTCCGGCCTGCGCCTCCAGCTGCTCCCCCACCCGCCGCCGTACCGCTCTCAGCCTTGCTCTGCTGCAGCCTTACTCTCGAATACCCTTCGCGGTGTTTTGGTATCTGTGCCATTGTCTGCCTGAAATCACATTTCCTTACTCTTCTTCCCAGCTCTCGATATAGCTGGTCAGTACAGGTCTGTCCAACTTTGGAGTGAGACTTGAAGCATCACCTCGCTCAGGAAGTCTTCCTTGGCCCAGTGTCTCCACATCTCCCTGGGTGCAGAATCCCTACTGGAGGGCCCTCATCTGCAGAATGGGGTCCTACGATTGACTGTTTACTCTCCTCTCCATCCCCCCCCCCGCCCCCCGAATGTGAACATCTTCAGTGCAGGTACCATGGCTTAGCACAGCCGTCATGTAGGTGGTGAGTGAAATGAACAAGGTGGCGTGGTGTCTCCTGGTACGGGACAGTGTAGATTAGGACTTCACCGGCTTCATCGGGTCAAGTTAGAGTCATTCTTCCACTGGAAGAGAATTTACCAGGTTGTTAAATGTTGCCGTTCGTATATGCACGTATGTAAGAGCTCACCCGACCACCACGGCAAGATCCACGCCTTTCCTCACCTCCCCACGTCTGCTCACTGCCACACTTCCTAGCACCTAACAGGCTCTCAGAACACAGAGGTGGAACAGATGAGCAGACGCCGCTGTGACGGGCGCGGGGCTGGAGGTGCCCTCCTGAAGCCGATCTCTGCTCACTTGTTGACGTATTTGTCTTTCTCACCAGCGGCACCGCTTCAGGTTCTTCAAAGACGGAACCACGTCTCATATGACTTTCCGTCCAGATCCCAGCGAGGTGCCTGGTGCAAGGCGGGGGCTGACAGTGCTCATTGAGGGGCGAATGACTGAATGAATTAATGAGCAAACGACGCTGTAATTCTTAAAATACTGACACTGAGCCCTTCTCAATGTTAGTTTGGTTTATCAGTGGAAATGAGATAATTGACTTCTGTAACCATTGGCTTTTTCAGTGGAAAAGGAGAAGTTGAAAAACAAAAACATGCCCTACATTTAGTAGGTGATAGCATGTGCTCGGTACAAAATCCAAAACTTCGGAAAAAGGGTACAATGAAAAGTTGGTCTTAATTCCCACCCCTGCCCTCAAGCACCCAGAGGCAGCTGTTGGTCTTGGGGTTTTTGGGGGGTTTTTTTGTTTTTTTTCAGAGATAGAAAAACATGTGCATTGCTTCTTCACAGACTGATGGTTACTGTTTTTAACATACAGAACAGCACACTTTTTTATACCTGCCTTGTTTCACTTTAGAGTATACCTTTGAGTTCGTTTTCTATCGTTTTAAATTCTAAAGGTATGTTTTTCTTTTTATTGGCTGAATAATATTTATATGAACACATCATAATTTAAACAACTGTTGACAAGTAGCTTTGCTTCCAGTGTTTTGCATTTATTAAAGACAGTGCTAGAAAGCACAGCCCTTCATCTCTGTTCTTGTGCACGTTCGCATACATCTGTAGAATAAGTTTCTAAGGTAGATTTATTGAGTCATTACATTTTCTTAGAGTTATTACTGTATTGCTCCCCGTAGAGGTAATGGTGTATCTTAATATGCTTTTCTGAAGGAAACTTGAACCCTCAGTGCTATACTCTCCATCACCGCGTACAACCGTTAGCACCTGCTGGGGGGGCGGTCACACAGAAAACTCACCCGCGCAGAGCGGGTTCACAGTGGTCTTTCCTTCCCACGGAGGTGGGCACGTGGTGGGCTGGATCCCCGTGTGAGCAAGTGAGCGAGGACGGCTCTGGGCGCTCGGCTGTGTCCTACAGGGATGGTGAAAGACCAGCCTTCCTCAGGCTCCCGCTGGTCCCCTCACTCCTGGAGCCTCCTTTCACGAGCCGATGGATTCTAAGGCCCACCTGCAGTGGCAGGCCCTGTGCTCAGCACTGTGGACGCACCCGGGGAAGGGGAGGCCTCTGCTCTTAAGGGGCCCACGGTCTCTCTGAGGAAGCCGGCCCCCAGCTGGCCCTTCCATCCGCCGTATCTTTGCCCACCTTCTCCTCTCCTCTGGGTATCCAGAGCCTGCCAGTTCCTCAAGATCTTCTCTCTCTCCTTCTGCCCAGAGAACCCTTGTCTCTCTTCACTCTGAGAGTACTGGCCAGTAACACCCAAGTGTCGAACCCCTAATTCTGATCTGCTGATTGATGTGTGGGTTGTCCTGCAGCCCTGAGAAGTCCTCGGGGGTCAGGAGCAAGCCCGTCATGTGTAATTTAAGAGCACGCAGTCATCAAGCCATTCAGGAAATAGGCATTGATGAATTAAACAGTACCCTAATGGATAGATGCACTCTATTAGCTGTTTCCTTTTTTTAAGTATTAGCCTTTAAAATAACTGTCTGTGTCTGGTTCGTCCTGGCACACCGGTGCCGTGTGCGGGGGCCAAGGCTCACTGTCCCTGGCTCCGCGAGCGGTCGTGACAGGCAAGGTGAAGGCAGAGGGTGCAGAGGCACAGGTCAGGAGCTCTGGCCGAGGAAGGGCGAGGAGGGAAAGGCTTCACAGAGGAGGAGAAACCTGAAGCGGGGTTTACAGTTAAGTCGAAATCTTGAATCAGACACCGGAGGAGGAGATGTCAAGAGTTGCCAGGCTGGTGCAGGTCGTGGGGGAGGAAGGGAGGGGCCTCGTGTGTCTGGGGACGAGTAAGCAGTTGCTGGGAACTAAGGGGCAGGTGCCGGTGGGGGGCGGGGGGGGGGGGGGGGGGGGGGGTGGGGCGGGGCTGGGTCACATCACAGGGAGCCTCGAGGATGGTCCCCCTCCCCTCCTCTGCGCATCTGTGACCAGAGCAGTGAGGAGCAAGCGTGGCGAAGGCCGTGTCTTCTCTTGTGATTAGGTTCTGTTTTGTGTTTTGTTTCCTTCTGGTTGCCGCTTGGGTTTTGAAACAACAGTTTTTGTTGTAATTAGCACGTCAGAATATATTGTTCGGTGTTAGTAAATAAAATTTTGTTTAAATATACCTGAAAGCCGAGTCTCTTCTCAGGTGACAGGAAGGCAAGGACAGTGCCAGTGTGTATCCATAGGAAGTCACTGCACATTTTAGTACGGGAGGTTCCGTGTGAAAAGAGGCATGGCCATCCTGAAAGCCTCCTCCTACCCATACATGTCATAACAGGGAGGAGTCTGATCATCACCATACTGTTTAATCACTCATCTGCCTTACTGAACACAAATATTTTATGTCCTTAATCTCTACAATTCTCTTTTGCATTGTTGTTCTCATTTCTATCAAATTTCAGTTTGCCTGCTTCCTCTGCCTAAATCCTGCCATTCCCACCAGAGTGTAAATAATTTGTTACTTGAAGTATACAAATATATACCATTTTCCTCTCTTTCAGGAACTTTCCTTGCAATTATGGACTGCTTAAGAATAATCAACTCACCAACGTGCCTAGTCAGTAAATGAATTCACTTGAGAACTTGAAAATAATCACTTTTTTTTTTTTTTGTACAACTTTGTTTCATGAAATGTTTTATAAAATGGTATGCTTTTTAATTTGGAAAATCTGTTTGAGAAAGGGAAAGAAAGTCAATCTCTTTGTCTCCTCATAACAGAAAACAAATGATTTGTGTATTGCTTAACAAAGGCTGCCCATTTCAATCTCTTCTACTTTAATATAAACCTAGAAAAACAAAGGCTTGTTATTTCAGCCCAGCTCTAAATTCTGCACACTTGAGAACCATATATGGCTGCAACTCACAGCTCACAAGAAGTCAAGCCTCAGCACAAATTCCAGCTTTGAAAATGATTTATCCAACTCAATTATGGACCAATAAATATGAACATGTTATGCCAAAAGTAAGCGGCCACATAAAAGGTTAATTATAAAGGCTTCTGCGGGAAGCAGTGGCGCTGTCAGAATAGAAGCCCGGTTTTCATGCCTCTGTACTTTGTTGTGGAACATAAAGGTCGTCATCCCCATGGACAGTATTACTCAGTTCCTTCTCTTTTCATCACTTACTGGTGCTTTGTGATTTTAATTCAGTACGCCCCGGCAGGATGCGTTTTATTCCTTCTGCTAGAAGCTCACACAACACGCTTCCTAGTCTTGGAATTTCGGAAACAGTCTTGTGCATCATTAAGTTGTCACTTTCTTACCTCAAAGACACATTCCCTCAAGGCGTTCACTTTTTACAGGGTACCGTGTTGGGAGCATTGTGTTAAAAGCACAGAACAACTTCTGATAGGTTTGCTCTTCCTTATCCTCTCGTGATGCACCCTAAAGACATGATCTTCTACTCCTGCAGTTGGCACTTTTGCGTTTGTCAGATACGTGGTTCTCCATCTCAGAAGTGCAAGGAATAAAGGCCCGCGTCCCGGAGGGCCACGGCAGTGCTGCGGTGAGTGGGCGTGGGTGCTCACCAGAGCACGGGCAGCAGTGCCCCTGTGTGGAATTAATCCTAAACAAGCAGGAACTTTAGGATGGGAGCCAGACTGTCGTAAGTGGGGAGGAATTTGAGCTCCCTTTCTGCCTGCAGCCTTTTCCCCTCCTGAGTTGGAGACACAGTCACAAAGCTGCAAGTGAAATCCCAGGGATGCGAACTGTCCAACTCACCTCCTGTCTGTCCCGCTTCTCCCAGCCTCACTCTCGCTGCCTTAGTCTTGGCCTCATACTGTGCCACCTGTACCACTTCAGTTCACTGAGCACACATTTACTGAGAGCCTCCTGCATGCTGGGCACCGCCCTGCGTGTGAGAGCACAGGACAGAGCAGAGGGGCTCCTGCCTCGAGGAGCTTACCTCCCAGTGGGGGGAGCCAGGCCATCACCCGCAAACCAGAGGACGCCAGGCAGTGACAGAGCTGGGGGCGACAGAGCACAGTCACGGGAAGAGGGGTTAGACTTGACTTTGGGCCATAGGGGAATAATAAGGTGATGTTTCAGCCGCGACCTAGAAAAGTAAAGAAATGAGCTACGTCAAGACGCTAACGGGTGCCAGGATCCTGAGGTGGGAACACGAGGGCTGGAGGAGCCCCGAGGATGCAGGAAGGAAGTCAGGGTGGGGGCGGGGCCTGGGTGTGGAGGGCCGTCTCTGAGCTTTACTTCAGAGGGACTATCAGGCACACTGAGCCCAAGAGGAACGCTATCCATCCGATGTATATCTCAACAGAATCACTTCGGCAACCACGTGGAGAAGCGGCGATAGTGGGGCAAGGTAGGGGGGGACCTGTTAGAAGCCCCTGCGGTGAAGGTCAGAGGGAATGCTGGCATGGCCCGGGGTGGCCACCCTGCAAGTCCTGAGGACTGGCCAGACTTGAGACGCACTTAGAAAGTAGAGCCGATAACACTTAGTCTACAGGTTGGATGTGAGGTACAGAAAAGAAGGGGTTGGATGATGCAAAGATTTTGATCTAGAGCCATTGGGAAAATAGAAACTTCTCTCTGAGATGGGAAGATTGCAGAAGGGACTGTTTAAGATACAGATCTGACGTTTGAGGGGAGATCTCAGCTGGAGATGGGAATTTGAGAGCCGTTAGAATATAGATGTCTTGTAACGGTATAGCCTGAGTGTGGACATGAGAGGACAGGCCCAGGGAACATACAACACGTACAAGTCAGTGAGATGGCGAAGAACCAGACCCCAGGAAGGAGCTGCCGGGAGGTAAGAAGAGAACCAAGAGTCCTGCCCTCGACGGCACGTGTAGAGAGGGTTTCCCGGAGGAGGGCCGTGACCCTCTGCTGCAGGGGGCAGGTGACATGAGGAAGACTGGACACGGTAGCCGCGTAGAGGCCGTGCTGGCCATGCTTTGCTTCAGAGTGAGGCCTAGGCAGATTCATGAGAGAATGGAGCAGGCAGACCTCGGAGGTACTGGGGGTTCGCTTCCACACCACGCAGTAAAGGTAACAAACACTGCAGTAGTAAAGTGAGTCACAAAGGTTTTGGTTTCCCAGTGCGTGTAAAAGTTAGACTACGGTGCAGTGGAAACATGTTAAGTGGGCAACAGCATCATGTCTAAAAAAACAAGATACATACTTTAATTAAAAAAGACTTTATTGCTGAAAAGTGCTAACCATCACCTGACAACGCAGGGTTACCACAAACCTTCAATCTGTAAGAAGCGCAGTACCTGCGAAGCGTAGTAAAGCGAGGTCGGCCTGTGTAGTCAACTCTTCCAAGGAGTTTGCTTTAAAGTATCGCCGGAGAGGGCTGTGGCCTCGAGATGAGAAATTTGAGAGCGTGGGAGAGAGTGAGGGTGCTGGGGAGATGCCCCGACAGGAGCACAGGAGCGGGCGTGGCCGACAGCAGCGCAGATGGCGGGGCTGGGGCCGGGTGGGGAGGTGGGGACAGTTCGGCATATACGCGCACCGGGGCGCCTGCTGCCAGGGCTGTGTGACATCGCCCTTCAGAGGCGCGGCCAGCACCCTTGGGGCACCCGCGGCTTCTCCGATTGTCGCCCAGGCCCTCCGCGATTTGGACCCTACCAACCCCTCCAGCCTGAAATCCCCCCTGCGACCACCATCCTCAGGTGGCTCTAATTCTGTACGCCAGCTGGGGGCAGGGCCTAGCTCCCCACTCGGCCGCCCTGACGCAGCGCACCGTGTGCCCCCGTGCGTCCCCCTCACGGGGGGCTGCTTGAGGCCCTTCGCCCAGACCGTCGGTACCCGTTCATTGCGTTTCACCTCAGCACACGCGTCCTGTCGGCCTGGTCACCTCTCTGCTTGCTCCGTGCTCCCTGCCATTTCAGGACGTGGCAGGGAAAAGGAAATGATGACATACACACAGCTCAGAGCCCCGAGGCCTCACTGCGTGGCCCCCGGGGAGGGAGATCTGGGACCCGTTTGCATCACAGGGATCTGGAAGCGCTGGGATTCTGCCAACTCGTGTGCCTCCTTTAAGACTTGGTGCCGGAAGCTCTGCCCCAGAGACCCCGCCTGGTTGTCACACTGCGTTAGAGTCACTGGCCTCCTCGTGGGCCCTGCGCTGGCTTCAGGGCTCTGCAGGCCCCACTGCATCCCAGGTGACAGTGTCCCCAGCTCAGCCCCGGGCCAGACCCCTAACGGGCTGGGGAGGAGGTGTGAGAGGGTGCGGTTAGCCCTGAACAACTGGACAAAAGTCTTTCGATTTGAAATTCCACTTTACTTTTCTCCAGCTAAGCTGGTTTTGGTCCGTCTCAGCGGGGCTTCCTCCTTGGCCCGTCTGTCAGCAGCAGCTTTCAAGCATGGCAGGCTGAGATAGCCATTCTAGTGTTTGATTTTTAAAGGATCTGAGCAACTTCCCGTGGTTTTAAAAATAACAGCTGATGGCTTTTTCAATGTGTATTTAGCTGTCTTCAACCCTCAGAGCTAGCTTTTTAAAGGGATGCCTTGGTGGAGTTGTGAAAATCACGACCACGACGCCGAAGGAGCTCTGCTTTCTGCTAGTCCGACGGCCCTGCCTTCGGTGCGACTTAAATCTTGCAAAGTGGCCCCGGCCTGGTGCTTTTGCATTGCATTATGGGAAGCTCCGACAAATGGATGCTTCTGTGCAGAAGCTAAGAGCTTCTCGTCCGTGTTCTGGCTCCGTGGTGATTTCGAGTCCCTCCCCGGGCTGCCTGGCTCTGGCCTCTCTCCCGGTGCCCATGTCCTCGCCCACCTTCCTGCCTTTAGACAGCACCTTCCCCGGCAGCCTGTCCCAGATGGCTTGCTGTCCTTGCTCTGCCCTCACCCCAAACGCTCTTCCTCCAAATTGTCCCTCATTTTGGCTCATGGAGGTGACCCAGCACAGGGCATCCTCTGGAGGCACAGCGCACTCCCTGCAGCCCATACCTGGGTGCACTTGTTATCAACTGCCCTGTAACCGACCACCCCAGGACTTAGCAGCTTAACAGAGCAAACATTTACAATGTCACACATTCCCTGAGGGTCGAGAATCAGGGACTGTTTCTGGCTCAGAGTCTCACGAGGGTGCAAACCGTCAGCAGGGGCTGCGGTTCCTGGAGGCTGGAGAATCCACTCACCGAGTCACTCACGGGGCTGCTGGCGGGAGGCTCTGGCCCTTGTCCCACGGGCCCCTCCACGGGCCGCCCGAGGGTCCTCACGACACGGCGGCCAGCCTCCCGCAGAGCAATAGGTCCAAGAGAGAGAGTCCCCAAGCGAGGGGGCCACGGGCTCGACCCTGATTTCAGAAGTCACATCACGTCGCTCCCTCCACTGGCTTGTGGTCCTTACCCCCCCTCCCCGGCCCGTCCCCCACCCCCCGCGGGATAGTATGGCCGGGGGACTGCTCCGTACTCCCCCCACCCCCGGGGGGGGGTCACTTGACACCTCTGTGTCCTCCCCCACAAAATGGGGAGAGTCGTGCCCCCCTCCCGGATCGTCAGGAGGAGGCCTGGCACGTGGTAAGCTCTCGGCAGCTGTCAGCTGTGCACTAGAACGGGAAGAACCCTAGAACCCTGACTGGCGTGCGCGCGCATGCGCAGAGGCACTTCCCAGGGGGACCGTGGACGCCACTCTCCGCCCCCCTCCCCAGGTGAAGAGCCTCAGCCTTCATTTCCATGACAGTGACCTCCTGAGGGCAGGACAAGGACTCGCCCTCCCCACGACACCACGACAGCAGGCTCCCGTGAAGTGCCCGCCAGGTGCAAGGGCCCCTTCCACCCACCAGTGAGTGGTCCCCCAGCTGCCGGGCGCGCACTCGGTGCGCCGGGTGCAGCCCCTGCAGTCCTCCTCAGGTGTGGGTCACAGCCTTCCCTTGACCCTCGCGGCTCGCGAGGGGGCTTCAGCCCAGCTTCCCCGCTGGTTCCAGAGCCATCACTCCCAGAGGCCCTGGCCTCCTCCACCCCAGGACCCCGGCCCCCTGGCCGGCGGCTGGGCCCTGCTTCGACCGGTCTAACCAGCCGGGAGCGAGAGGCTGCCCACCGAGTGACTCGTCACCCACTTCTCCCAGTAGCAGACCACCGCGGTTCCAGACAGAGGCGCCCGGCCCCGTGGGTGTCGTGTTAACCCCCGATGTCCTATCACCCTTAACCCCTGGCTGCTTCTCCGGAGCCAGGCCCAGGCTTCCCCGTTCCTGTCCTTCCCCATCAGCTGAGCCATGTAGAAGCTCTCTGAGCCTCGGTTCTTCCATCGCTAAGATGGAGATTCTCTGTCGCCACCTCGGGGTGCGGTGGAGGGACTCTCAGAAGCCAGCAGTTGGGGTGATAGGGTGGGGCCGGGGGTGGGCTGATCACCTGCACTGTGCGGGGTGCGGGGAGGACGCGCCCACCCTCACGTGGGCGGGAAGATCACACAGGGTTTCTAAAAACCAGAGCCCCTTTAGCTCTCCGGGCTAGCCTCACGTGGTATTTCTGCTCAGCAAAATGTAGGACGATCTCCCCAAACAAAATGCTATGCTGTGCTCATTCCCTCGCCCAAGGCCGGGCTCCTGGGGAAGCCGCCGGCGGCTGTCGAGGGGACATCAACGTCAACACCCAAAGCGAATCATAACGCAACGGTGCAGGCAGAGGGGATTGGATCTGCTTCCCTTTGTGGGCAGGAAATTCATGATTTCCAAAGATGATGATGCAGGGGGCAAGATCCAAAATCTTCCAAAGAGGGACGCAAAGGGCAAGTCCACCGGGCAGCTGAGTCCAGAGCCACTCGGGCCCCCCGTGGTCGCCGCGGTGCTGTCTGCAGAGCAGCTGTAGGGGAAGCCCCAAGCCCAAGAAGATCCCAGGAGCGTGGGCCCTGTGTAGGCCTCTCCGCCTGGATTCTCTGGATTGAAAGGGATTCCCAGTTCATAATGGGAAACCACAGACTATTTTCGTAATGAACACACATGCCCTTTCAATCGTTCCTAAGGCTGTGCAGGCTTGATCCAGGAGAGCTGGTCCTTCCCTTGCTTAACTTCTCCATCTTAAACCAAATGGTGCAACTGTATCACAGAATATTCACCTCCCTAGATACTTTTTCCTACACGTCTATTATACTGAATAATTTAGGTCAAGCTGTAGATACCTTAGAAAAACTTTTGCATTAAATATCAAGCAGTGTGCCTATTTTCTCTGCTTCTGACTTGCCAACAACAAGTGTTGTTAGATTATTTTCCCAGTGTTTTAGATTATTTTCATCTGCTACCAAATAACGCTACACGATTATCTACATTTCTGATTGCACGATAAGCAGGGGACCTGCAACCTCAGCCCGCGCTCTGCGTGCCCTGGGTCTGCTGGGGCGTGGAGCCATGGAACCGAGGCACAGGCCCCGGCGTTTGCCGCAGTCCCCACGGTTCTTTATCGCCTCCCACCCAGGCCGCTGCAGGCATTTGCTGGTAACTATTTGGCCTCATTTGCTATTTGCATTTGAAGTCCATGGCCCAAGCAATAAGGTTTTGTTCCATCCTTTCTTCCGCGTGCTATGAAGGAATCAAGTTAGCTGGAAAGGTCACAACCCAGTCCTCCCTCTGTGTCACCATAGGATGGTGACTTGCACCGTTAAGCAAAACATACTCCTTACACCTCCTGGCTCACTGTGAGCTCAGCAGGGGCAGGACTCAAGAAACAAGCAGTGCCTTGTCCGGGTTCCCCGTGGGTCAAGGGGAGAGGATCCCCCGAGCAGACGGCACCCAGCGCGGGAGACTGTCAGGGGCATCCTCCACCCGCCCTCGGCTGCAGCAGCCCCTGCAGGTGAGAAGGGAGGGGCCCTGCCACACTGGCCAGAGATGCCAGGAGACATGCCCCCACCTGAGCACGAGCCTAATGCACAAAGCTGACCCTGCCCACCACCGAGCAGGGCCACGCGCAGCACCGGCCTCCGCACGTCCAGACACTCCCACACTCGGGGGGGGCGGGGCTTCTCTCAACCGCGCCGGCTCTCGTTCTCGTACTTTGCTTTAAGGTTGCGCCGCGCAGAGCCTCCGTGGAGACAGCAGCTCCGGGGTCTCGGGCTCCTCTTCGCCCTTGTTCATGCCCAAGGCTCCCGTCTCCTTTCCTTCGGCGTCAGAGGCCATCCCCCATCTGGAGAGCTGTCCCCTTGATCCGCGGCCGCAAGGCTCTCCCAGGCACAGGGCAGGCACCCTCGGTGCCC